GCGGGTAAATTGATGGCGATATATAAGTACCTGAAATAAATATATATATATAGATATATACATATATATATATATATATATATATATATATATATATATATATATATTATATATATATAAAATATATTTTGAAATACATTGAATATGGCCGAAATTGAAGTATTTCAAATATATGTCAATATATTTAGGAAGAATATTTTTAAAATATATCATTTTTTTTCACACAAATAGAGATTTCTTTTGGTGGTATTTGATCACCATGGGATTTTTAATTTTTATTATATAAATGAAAAAATAATCTATAATTTATCCCTTAGCTAACCCTAGATTTTTTTTTCATAATTCTTCCCCTTCCTCCTTTTTTTTCTGATTTTTTTTAAATGTAATCTTTATTTATAGAAAAGGTTTTTCCATACATTTGTGTAAGAAGTAGAACAACACCGTACCATACATAACAACAGTGTGGCAAACATAGCATGCAGCTGACAATAATTAAAAGTGTATCATGTTTTTATATCAGCTAAAAATAATAATGTGACTGGTCCCAGTTCAACCCATACATTCTGTTTTTATTTCTTTCTTTCTTTTTTTTTTACTCTTCATAAATGTTTATAGAGCTGTTAAAAAAAAAAAAAAAAAATATATATATATATATATATATATATATATATATACTGCATGTTGAAATGCATTTTTTATATATTACAAAATATATGAAACATATTTTCAAAAATATATATTTTTTTCAAATATATTCTTCGGGTTTTTTTCAACATATAAAAAAGTAATTTTAACATATATTGTTACATATATTTGTAAATGCATTCCAAAAATATAGATTAAATGTATTTTTAAAAAAATATATGTCATATACTTTGTAATTAAAATGCATTTCAACATACAGTAGATATATATATATATATATATATATATATATATATATATATATATTGAAATATATTGAATACAGCCAAAATTGTAGTATTTCAAATATATGTCAATATATTTGGGAAGAATATTTTTATAATATATTTTTCTTTCATGTGGGTTATATAATTTTTTCACACAAATTGAACTTTCTTTTGGTGGTATTTGATCACCATGGGATTTTTAATTTTTATTATATAAATGAAAAAAATAATCTACTTTTTCCCTTAGCTAACCCTAGATTTTTTTTTTTAATTCTTCCCCTTCCTCCTTTTTTTCTGATTTTTTTTTAATGTAATCTTTATTTATAGAAAATGTTTTTCCATACATTTGTGTAAGAAGTAGAACAAACACCATACCATACATAACAACAGCGTGGCAAAAATAGTATGCAGCTGACAATAATCACAAGTGTATCAAGGCTTTATATCAGCTAAAAATCCCAGTAATAACATCAGAACCCGGAGGGGTCCCAGTCCATCCCATACAGTAAGGCCTCATTAAACATCAGAGCGTAGAGTTTTTGTACACCTTTTTGCAGACGTTTGTGCGCGATTTGTTCAGGCATTTTTGGGCGTTTTGATCTCTGGTGTTTTTGTATTAGCCAACAGACATAAGCAAAATAAAAAAAAAAAATGTAATCTGCGACCTCAACTGTTGCCATGTTTTGCCATGCCAGAAAAATGCTCTTGGTCGCGTGACAAAACGCATGAAAATTCTGCGCGTTTCAATGTATTTCTATGGGAATAAAACACGCCAAAAAATGCATCAATCTGCCCGAATGGAGCTACAAAAAACAGCTCCAACACTTTTCTGAGCTTCAGGTGTTCTGCTTCAGGTGACTTGGAGTGGAGAACCATCTCCATAGAGTAATTTTGATTTTTTTTTTCTCCTGTTTTGGAGCTTCGAGCTACAAATCGATTAGGTGTCATTGGAGCCTAAATGCATGAGAAAGGAGTCATTGGGGAGTCCAAACATGGAGTGCAGGTATCGGAGACAAAGGCTAATTGGCCAAAAGAGCATGAGGTCCACCAGGTCAGCAGTATCCAGGATCATATCATCATGAGGTGTCTCCACCAGGCAGGCCATAGGGCTTTTGCTGATTAAAATTTTTTTTTACCCTTCATAAATGTTTATAGAGCTGGAAAAAAAAAATTATATATATATATATTTTTTTTTTTCAACATAACTTGTGCTTTAACCACTTGACCTCTGTGAGGTCCACCAGGTCGGCAGTATCCAGGATGATATCATCATGAGGTGTCTCCACCAGGCAGGCCATAGGGCTTTTGCTAATTAAAAACATTTTTTACCCTTCATAAATGTTTATAGAGCTGAAAAAATATATATATATAATATATTTATTTATAATATATATTTTTTTTTTTTTTTCCCAACATAACTTGTGCTTTAACTACTTGACCTCTGGGAGGTCCACCAGGTCAGCAGTATCCAGGATCATATCATGATGAGGTGTCTCCACCAGGCAGGCCATAGGGCTTTTGCTGATTAAAATTTTTTTTTTTACAATTCATAAATGTTTATAGAGCTGAAAGAAAAAAAAAAAATATATATATATATATTTATTTTTTTCAACATAACTTGTGCTTTAACCACTTGACCTCTGTGAGGTCCACCAGGTCGGCAGTATCCAGGATCATATCATGATGAGGTGTCTCCACCAGGCAGGCCATAGGGTTTTTGCTGATTAAAATGTTTTTTTTACCCTTCATAAATGTTTATAGAGCTGTATATAAAATATATATATATATATATATATATATATATATATATATATATATATATATATATATATATATTTCTATTTATTTACTTTATTTTTTTCAACAAAACTTGTGCTTTAACCACTTGACCTCCGTGAAGTCCACCAGGTCGGCAGTATCCAGGATCATATCATCATGGGGTGTCTCCACCAGGTAGGCCATAGGGTTTTTTCTGATTACAATTTTTTTTTACCCTTCAGAAATGTTTATAGAGCTGTAAAAAAAAAATTATATATATATATATTTTTTTTTCAGAGCTGTAAATTAAAAAAAAAAATAGATATATATTTATTTATTTTATTTTTTTTCAACATAACTTGTGTTTTAACAACTTGACCTCCATGAGGTTTTTACCACTTTCATGACCAGACCATTTTTTTGCTATTCAGCACTGTTCTATTTTAACTGACAAATGCACGGTCATGCAACGATGTACCCGATAGAAATTTATATAATTTTTTTTCACACAGATATAGCTTTCTTTTGGTGGTATTTGATCACCATTTTTTTTTTTTTAAATATAAATGAAAAAAAGAATTAAAATTTAAAAAAAAAAACCCCAATATTTTCTGTTATAAAACATATCCAATCAAAAATTGTTAAAAATCTAATTTCTTAATAAATTCAGGCCAAAGTGTATTTTGCTACATGTCTTCGGGAAAAAAAATCCCAATAGTAAGTGTATATTGATTGGTTTGTATGAAAGTTCTAGCGCCTACAAACGATGGTTTATGTATACTGGAATTTTTTTTTAATATATACAAGTAATGGCGGTGATCAGCGACTTTTAGTTGGACTGTGACTTTGATGGGGTGTCATATGATGGGGAGGAATGATTGAAATCTTGATGGTACTTTTCCTTCCACCTTAAAACAAGTCCATTTTACTACATTCACAGTTCCAGGGTGAACGTTGCACAGACATCTTTTCTTTTCAGTTCCTGGTGATCCTCTCTTTAGAAGCAGAATTTCTCAACCAGAGTACCCCAGCACCATGATATGCCGCCTGGGGATGTCCAGCGTTATGTTCAGTATTTTTGTACAAAATCATGCCTTGTTCGCTCTCCCCGGACACCGCATTCACTATATCCGCTCTCCCCAGACCCCGCATTTCTATCCGCTATATCCGCTCTACCCCGCATTCACTATATCCGCTCTCTCCCCGGACCCCGCATTCACTATATCCGCTCTCCCCGGACCCCGCATTCACTATATCCGCTCTCGCCATCTCCCCCCGAACTCCGCATTCACTATATCCGCTCATCCCCGGGCCCCGCATTCCCTATATCCGCTCTCCCCCGGACCCCGCATTCCCTATATCCGCTCTCCCGGGACCCCGCCGCATTCACTATATCCGCTCTCCTCGGACCCCGCATTCACTATATCCGCTCTCCCCGGACCCCGCATTCACTATATCCGCTCTCCCTGGACCCCACATTACCTATATGAGCTCTCCCCCAAAACCCGCATTCACTATATCCACTCTCCCCGGACCCCGCATTCTCTATATACACTCTCCCTGGACCCCACATTCACTATATCCGCTCTCCCCGGACCCCGCATTCACTGTATCCGCTTCCCCGGACCCCGCAATCACTGTATCCGCTCTCCCCGGACCCCGTATTCACTATATACACTCTCCCTGGACCCCACATTCACTATATCCGCTCTCCCCGGACCCCGCATTCACTGTATCCGCTCTCCCCGGACCCATTCACTGTATCCGCTCTCCCCGGACCCCGCATTCACTATATCCACTCTCCCCAGACCCCGCATTCACTATATCCGCTCTCCCCCGGACCCTGCATTCACTATATCCGGTCTCCCCGGACCCCCGCATTCACTAATATCCTCTCTCCCCGGACCCCGCATTCACTATATCCGCTCTCCCCGGACCCCGCATTCACTATATCCGCTCTCCCTGGACCCCGCATTCACTATATCCGCTCTCCCCGGACCCCGCATTCACTATATCCGCTCTCCCCGGACCCCGCATTCACTATATCTGCTCTCCCCGGACCCCGCATTCACTATATCCGCTCTCCCCGCACCATGCATTCACTATATCCGCTCTCCCCTGGGACCCCGCATTCACTACATCCGCTCTCCCTGGACCCTGCATTCACTATATCCGTTCTCCCCAGACCCCGCATTCACTATATCCGCTCTCCCGGACCCCGCATTCACTATATCCACTCTCTCCGGACCCCGCATTCACTATATCCGCTCTCCCCGGACCCCATTCCATCACTATATCCGCTCTCCCAGGACCCTGCATTCACTATATCCGCTCTCCCCGGACCCTGCATTCACTATATCCGCTCTCCCCGGACCCCGCATTCACCCGCTCTCCCCGGACCCCGCATTCACTATATCCGCTCTCCCCTCCCGGACCCCCGCATTCACTATATCCGCTCTCCCAGGACCCCGCATTCACTATATCCGCTCTCCCCCCGGACCCTGCATTCACTATATCCGCTCTCCCCGGACCCTGCATTCACTATATCTGCCTCCCCGACCCAGCATTCACTATATCCGCTCTCACCCCGGACCCCGCATTCACTATATCCGCTCTCCCCGGACCCTGCATTCACTATATATCCGCTCTCCCCAGACCCTGCATTCACCCGCTTTCCCCAGACCCTGCATTCACTATATCCACTCTCCCCGGACCCCGCATTCGATATATCCGCTCTCCCCGGACCCCGCATTCACTATATCCACTCTCCCCGGACCCCGCATTCACTATATCCGCTCTCCCCGGACCCCGCATTCACTATATCCGCTCTCCCTGACCCCGCATTACCTATATGAGCTCTCCCCGACCCCGCATTCACTATATCCGCTCTCCCCGGACCCCGCATTCTCTATATACACTCTCCCTGGACCCCACATTCACTATATCCGCTCTCCCCGGACCCCGCATTCACTGTATCCGCTCTCCCCGGACCCCGCATTCACTGTATCCGCTCTCCCCGGACCCCGCATTCACTATATCCACTCTCCCTGGATCCCGCATTCACTATATCCACTCTCCCCAGACCCCGCATTCACTATATCCGCACCCCGCTCTCCCCGGACCCTGCATTCACTATATCCGGTCTCCCCGGACCCCGCATTCACTATATCCGCTCTCCCCGGACCCTGCATTCACTATATCCGCTCTCCCCGGACCCTGCATTCACTATATCCCTCTCCCTGGACCCCGCATTCACTATATCCGCTCTCCCCGGACCCCGCATTCACTATATCCGCTCCCCCCGGACCCCGCATTCACTATATCTGGTCTCCCACAGTACACAGAATATGGAAATGCAATTATTTTAGTAAATAAACTGCTAAATACCTTTTCTCATCAGCAGAATAGAGCAGTCTTGTAACTTGACAGTGTCCAGCAGAGTACTAGTTAAAGCTTGTAGGAGGAGTTTTCATTCTCCCCTGATTGTCCTATGAGGCTGCATGACCCTTGACCCTCTTCTCTGGACAGTGCTGATTGGCCCTGTGCTGATCACATGCACTCTCCCAAGAAGAAGAAAAAAACTATCTAGCAATACACAACAAATTGAGCATGTGCAGCTTGCCCCCAAGGCTCTGTTCTATCAGCAGATGGATTGGGGACAGTGGAAGAAGGGGAGGATCTGAGAAGAGGGGATCAAACAGACTTTTTAAACAATGCAGAGGATTAACCCCTTAGGTCCCACAGCGAGTATAACAAGCATGCTTTACGGCATCTACAGACTGATTGTACAGTTGGAGGTTTAGTAACACTTTCATTTTTGTTTCTCTTTTTTAATCTCATTGCTGTCACAAGGATTGCCCCTCTATAGGTTAGGTACATTTAGCTACTGGCTCACTGTAATCAGTGGAGCTGCGTGTGATTGTTTTGGTCTGTTTTGTGTTTCACTGATCGCAGGGTTGGCTGCTTCCTCCTGTCTTTCTGGAGGGTTCTGGAAGATAGTGGGCTGGGAGAGTCAAATCAGCAGCTGTGGGATGGTGCCCAGATGGTGGCTGGGAGGGAGCATAAATAGTCTGGGGCTTGGAACAGAAGGGTTCTTGTCCTGGAGAAGGAGATCCCAACCTGGAGGGCTGCTGTCCTTCTAGACAGGCCAGCTGTACGTCTGCTGCTCATTGAGGTCCCAGCTACGCCAGTTGGGGGGCCTATTTTGCTGAAGTATGCTGACTGAGGGACTTCTTTGAAGGATCCGGTCTGAAGAGGAGAGGTGTCTGGAAGATAGTGGAAGGAGGCATCCAGCTATTCAAGGACATTAGTGAGTATAGACTGGTGTGAGATCCCAATGACTGTGTGCTGCTGCTATCCCTCTTGCTTTAGAGTCGGCATTCCTTAACCACTTCCAGTCCGGACACTTTCCTCCCCCCTCCAGTCCGGACACTTTCCCCCCTTCCAGTCCGGACCCTTTCACCCCCTTCCAGTCCGGACACTTTCCCCCCCTTCCTGTCCAGACACTTTCCCCCCCTTCCAGTCCGGACACTTTCCCCCCCTTCCTGTCCAGACACTTTCCCCCCCTTCCTGTCCGGACACTTTCACCCCCTTCCAGTCCGGACACTTTCCCCCCCTTCCAGTCCGGACACTTTCACCCCCTTCCAGTCCGGACACTTTCTCCCCCTTCCAGTCCGGACACTTTCCCCTCCCTTCCAGTCCGGACACTTTCCCCCCCCTTCCAGTCCGAACACTTTCCCCCCCTTCCAGTCCGGACACTTTCCCCCCCTTCCAGTCCGGACGCTTTCCCCCCCTTCCAGTCCGGACGCTTTCACCCCCTTCCAGTCCGGACGCTTTCCCCCCCTTCCAGTCCGGACACTTTCACCCCCTTCCAGTCCAGGACACTTTCCCCCCCTTCCAGTCCGGACGCTTTCACCCCCTTCCAGTCCGGACGCTTTCACACCCCCTTCCAGTCCGGACGCTTTCCCCCCCTTCCAGTCCGGACACTTTTACCCCCTTCCAGTCCGGACACTTTCCCCCCCTTCCAGTCCGGACACTTTCACCCCCTTCCAGTCCAGACACTTTCCCCTCCTTCCAGTCCAGACACTTTCCCCCCCTTCCAGTCCGGACACTTTTCCCCTCTTCCAGTCCGGACACTTTCCCCCCCTTCCAGTCTGGACACTTCCCCCCCCCTCCAGTCCGGACACTTTCACCCCCTTCCAGTCCAGACGCTTTCCCCCCCTTCCAGTCCGGACACTTTCACCCCCTTCCAGTCCGGACACTTTCACCTCCTTCCAGTCCGGACACTTTCACCCCCTTCCAGTCCAGACACTTTCCCCTCCTTCCAGTCCGGACACTTTCCCCCTCTTCCAGTCTGGACACTTTCCCCCCCTTCCAGTCTGGACACTTCCCCCCCCCCCTCCGGTCCGGACACTTTCACCCCCTTCCAGTCCAGACACTTTCCCCCCCTTCCAGTCCGGACACTTTCACCTCCTTCAAGTCCGGACACTTTCACCCCCTTCCAGTCCAGACACTTTCACCTCCTTCAAGTCCGGACACTTTCACCCCCTTCCAGTCCGGACACTTTCCCCCCTTCCAGTCCGGACACTTTCACCCCCTTCCAGTCCGGACACTTTCACCCCCTTCCAGTCTGGACCCTTTCACCCCCTTCCAGTCTGGACACTTTCACCCCTTCCAGTCCAGACACTTTCACCCCCTTCCAGTTCGGTACACTTTCACCTCCTTCTAGTCTGGACACTTTCACCCCCCTTCCAGTCCGGACACTTTCACCCCCTTCCTGTCCAGTAGGCCAATTTTCAGCTTTCAGCGCTATCACATTTTGAATGACAATTGCGCGGTCATGCAACACTGTACCCGTATGAATTTTTTAGCATTTTTTTGAGACAGATTAAACTTTATTTTGTTGGTATTTATTCACTGCTGGGATTTTTATTTTTTTTTCCTATATATAAATGAAAAAGTCCACAAATTTTGAAAAAAAGTGTTTTTTCTGATAAAATTTTGCAAATAAATAATCTTTCTTTATAAATTTTGGCCAAAATTTATTCAGTTATCTTTTTAGTAAAAAAAATAACCCAAATTAGTTTATAACCAAAAATTATAATTTTTCAAAAAATTCTTTTTACATTATTATTTATTGTTTTATATTATTATTTATGTTTTTTTTTTCTTTTACATACTGTCACCCTAGCAGTACAGTGTCACCATGGTGACACTGTACTACTTGTGGGGGGTGATGAAGATTTTTTTTTTTTACACTGATTGCTTTTACACCCATAACAGCTGTAACATCAATCATTTCTCCTTCTCTCTGGCTGCATTCTTGCAGTCATTGAGAAATACTGTGAGAGCTGTGATTGGTCACAGCTTGTCACATGGTACAAGGCTGTTGTGGATTGCCCTGTACCATGTGATCTCTGTGATCATTCAGATTTCACACGTAGTAAGCAATGATGTCAGAAGTGACATCTTGCTTACTACTGTTCATGTGATCACTGATTGGCCAATCAGTGATCGCATGATCGGGACCTCACACAGGGGTCCCATACAGTGATCGGTGTTCCTGACACAGCAGGCACCGAATTACGGTGCTGTGCGCTTCCAGGGAACACGCACAGGCTGAAACTGTGTTTATGAACGGCATGATCGGGACCTCACACAGACCTCACACAGGGGTCCCATACAGTGATCGGTGCTCCCAGGGAGTGCGCACAATCCAAAATGAATTTTATGAGTCTATGAACAGCAGCCCACCCCAGCACTGCCCCCGTCTGGCCGTTTATATACAGCGTCCGGACAGGAAGTGGTTAAAGGGGACATTGCTTATGGTGTCCCGGTGTAGCTCAGCCCATCATTTCCAGCTGCAAGGACTCTTTGGGAAGATCAGTGTCCTCAAGTTTCTTCTTTAACCCCTCGCCCTCCAGAGGGTCCCCCCCCCCCCCCCCTTCCTGACCTGTCCATTTTTTGCATTACGGCGCTGCGTTACTTTAACTGACAATTGCGCAGTCGTGCAACGCTGCACCTAAATGAAATTTACTTGTATTACCTATATTACCCAACTGTCAGTTTCCAGGGCAAGTTTTAACCTGATTGGCTATTACAGGTAAAGGCAGAAGGTTTTTTATCTATGAAACTTTCTGTTAACGAAGATACTGGGAAGGATAGAAGGCTCTCCTTTTCGTGAGACATACAAATTATTCAAGGTGGGAGAAAATCATTGTAATATATAACATCCTTCATTTATAATATAAAACGATGAGATTAAATATATAAATGGGATTTTATGAGACTATAGAAAAGGAATGGAAGTAGGAAGTGTCCCCGAAAGGCTTCTATATTGTATCAAATATGTTCCTCGTTCAATGTCACGTGAGCCCATTACCCTGTAGAAGAGATCCATTGTCATTACATGATCTATCCCGAATGTAATTTAATAGCAGATTATTGCTAACTGGTGTCAGTTATTTACTTTGCTGCTCTATACATCCCTAACAAAGGTTTGGAGATGGAATCTGAGAAATTGGCAAGAACAAGAAATGATTCGAATGTATGTAAAGCCAAAACTTTTTGTTTAACTTTTGAATGAAATGTGGATTAGCTATAACCCCTGACAGGTTTTCATTGCTGTCTGGGTCCCCTCTGGGGGGGGGGATCACTCTCTCTATGCAGTGAAGGAAATGCATATTTGCTCCCCGGCTGATGTTGAATGTTCGCCCCTCACACAGAAATGATCGGTCTAACAATGGAATGTTTCGCCCCTCACACAGAAATGATCGGTCTAACAATGGAATGTTCGGTGTAACACTGAGAGACAGAATACAACAACAAATTCAGCAGAAATACGTCTAACA